TGTGTACTGTGAGAAAGCGAGACTTACGTCTCCATCTCGTGGCAAGGAGGACAACTTTACAATTCTCTAAAACTCCTAAGTCCATGTTGTATCAGAATGTTGTCGCTACGTTGTCGATGTCAAGAGTGTCAACATTCTCCCAATGTTGATAGCTAATGTTGCAATGACATTCGTAGAAGTGTCGCAGCAACATTCCAAGTGAAAACATTGAAGCAATGTTTTCTCAATGTTGTACAGCAACTTGCAACATAGAGCAACATAGGCAACATTTCGAAAACGTTTCATCAACATACTGTGTTACTTGGGTAGTTGTTCCTTTTCTCTGCCATAGAGAATGAGCGTGATTCGATTCATCTACGGAGCCAGGAAAATGTATTTGAGCATGCAATAAGTTGCAGGGTAAGATAATAGCATGACCATGTACGTTATTCTTTGATTCGTAGATGTTCTGAATCACGCTAATCCTCTTCATGAGACAAAAGTAACCAATAGTTCCATTAACCATGTTCACTCATTCAAATCTGAAACAAATGTAAATGAATGAACCTATAGCATACTAGGTATTTTTAGATCAACTTGTATGATACAATATTATCGCTGATGTTGAAAATACCTGATGTTGCACACCTGCGTACATCGTTTGTTTTCATTGACTGCGGAGTTGACTTTTTCTGAAACGAATAGTTGCGCTCCAAGATCAGAGAATCATCACGGGAATAATAATTTGGTTAGTCCGCCTCATACTAATACATATTAACTTTAAGAAAATGAGACCGTGAAAAAGACGGGCCAATATCCATTCCATTCAGATGACAGTCGCTCTTAATAATTAGAAATAAATCAAAGTTCGTCAGATAACATGTAACTGGAAGTAAACACAGTGCAAAGCGAAAATTGCAGCATTCGTATGCTCACGCCGAACTCAAGATCATTATTACTGGGATCCCACACACAACCATTGAACTTGAGGAATACCAAGACCCACGGTTGATTGAGCTTTTCATGTTCCATGAAGAAAATGAGACGAAGGGATCACTGATTCATGCTCTTCACGCGTTATTCTTCGAGTTACCTAATATTAGCTGATTTATTCACTAGTGACAATTTGTAAGAAAGAACCTGCTAAAAGAGCCTTTGAGAAGACACTGCGCTCTCGCGTAAGAAGACATCGTATATTTCTTTATTGTCAATGCTCCGCCCTCATGAAGGGGCATGCGCGAAGTGGAAAGGAGAATGCGTGTAGAGGAAAGAAGGATATGTGCTTCTTTATTCGCCTAAAGACAGGTCTTCTTAACCTGGTGTCCATGGATCCTCTAGGGGTCCGTGGGGTTGGTCCAGGGGGGTCCGTAGAGGGTCCATGGAAAATGAAATATATTATTGAAATTAGCTCCCGAAAAACATGATTTATGAGCAAAAATCCAGGTATTCCAAAGTTTCTTAACCGGGAGTAGGGGTCCAAAGGTAATACTTGAGGATCTTGGGGGGGGGGGGGCCGTAGGTGTCAAAAGGTCGGCTTCGGCTGGCCGAAGAATATGGAGTTTCCATTCCACGTGATGAGTAATTATGCTGCCAATAGCACTTCGGGTCTCTCAAAATGAAAAGATGTAAAAGAAAAATCGGCGAAAAATCTGGCCATCCTCAGCCTCGGAAAAAGAAATACAAGGCAGCTGATGATCGCCTCCTGACCTTGGTCGAGCAGCGGCAGTCAAGGGATGTCTTTTCATATTTGCGCGGTATCGCGCTGAATACTCAGTTTTGAACTCATTCTGACAATCCCCTTATTTTCTCCCAAGGGTTTTCCTCTTATGTGACAATTATTAACCCGTTTTATTTCAATATCCATAATTTCTAGGACAATTTTTGCAGCGAAAGTGAATGCAGTGAAAAGGGTACCACAGTGAAATGACGTACAGTTAATTGCCGCATGCGAATAAATTGTTTGCAGTGAAATGTCGGCAGTCATTTGTCTAACATAGAAGTGACTTGCAGTGAAATGACGTGGAGCCTGAATAAATATTTATTGATGAGGGAAAGTCGTTATAGAATTATAATTCTCCCACTTATAATAACTCATACTGTTGTAGCTAATGGCAGTTGGCAATCAGCCTCAGACAACCTCAGGTCCAAAGAACGATGTGAAGATGGCCTCCGGGCACTAAATGTTCCACGTTTTACAGCAGTTTAATGCTTTAATTATCTCACAATTGTGGACGGAATGCCAAATCTTTCAAAATATACATAATCCTAGTAATTTCTTGCAACATATAATCACGAGAAATTATAATAACGATGTCACAGTTTATAAACCGTTCTCGATCGCAGCTGGCCTTCCTCTGAAAGTAGCAACTTTTTTGCGATACATGACACCTTTGTATTATCTTTTGTTTTATTGCACATTGATTTTTAGCATTATACCTGACTCCGTTACATTTCTGGAACAACGCAAAATAAGTGTCAAAATACGTTTTAATAGGCACGGACGAAATAAAAGGAAGATACAAGAGGCAGAAACTAAGCCATCAGGAGAGAGAGAAACTAGGCCATTAATTCAGCTCCCACTTGAAAAAAAAAAGATTCATTCTTTAAAGGCAATTCAGGCTACATCTTTGCACTTTCGGTTTCCCAGTAGATTCTTCAAATGTCGGATGAGCAGCTATGAATTTTGTATCGCAACCCTTTGCTACTTCATTTCATCATTCTTTCTTACTTTTCCTTTCCTGCACCCAGCTTTTTCACCTCGAATTTGTATGCTTTAAAATGTTGTTTTATATATAATCTGTATCTTGGCACTGTTTTGCCCATTCGCTCTCTTCTAGGTCTCATCTTTTCATATTTATTCACTCACCCTTATGAGGCAGCTCCCAGATCGGGAGATCCAAGGGCCTAGTTTTCTCGCGTGATCCGAATTGGCCGCACTTACGAATGTGCTCGCCCTCGGATTCCCTTCCTCGTAAATTAAAAGAGCGAAATGGGCATCCCGGAAATTCCAGACCACGAGTTTAGAGAATGAAGATAAGCCACATCCTGAATACGCTCTCCCTCGAGGAAGTGAGTGATATCCGAAATCCCTTTCGCGGAGTGCCCTACTCATGACTTCAGACGTCAGACACCATGAAGCACAGAGAAAATGGCGAATTATACTCTCAATCTAAGACTGAATCCATTAGTGACGCCACACGAACATACAAGTTACAAGTTCTCGCATCGTTTAGGTCGTCGGCATCACAGCTTTGCTAAGTTACTTATTTTTATTTTTCTGTACCTCGCTTTTCCCTCTTAGACTTACATTTTGCTATGAAGTCGCATTTATTGTCCTCATTTCAAAGTTATACCTCTTCGCTCTCTCCAATACATTCATTCATTTTCCGGTCTTCATACTCTCTTCACAGGGAGTCAACACCGACGAAAACGATACCGAAGAGTCAATGCTTTTATCTCGCGGTCAGAATTGGACGTGCTTGAGTTCTCTCCTTCGGAACCCATCCAAAGTGAAGGGAGAATCCCTAAAGGTCGAGTACAGCCTAAAATGATGAATAGTTGACACAACCTGAAAATGTTATCGATTGCAATGGACGTGATTAATACACGAAATCCCTTCACGGAAGGTTCATGACGTGATTTCTGACGTTAGTGATGCTTGAAACGAAGGATACGACTAATCCTTTATCTCAATGTGAAATATCTCCATCAGCGACCCTGATAGGATATCCGGGAAAGAGGAAAGTATGATTAAGTAGCCGAAGGGAAAGAGTCAAGGTGCAAAGTACACAGGGTAGCCAACACACTTCATCTCGTTGGGAGCTCATGCGTCCAGTTGCGCAAAACATCCCATTGACCTGAATGAGACGAAATATTCATATGGGTTCAGTCAATAGTAACCCCCGTTGTCCAAACAATAACCAAAAGTTGGCTGGGAAGGAAAAATAGTTGTTATCCAAAATGAGTCCACACCTCCAAGGAAAATTGTTCACTCCACTTGAACAGCAAGAAATCTGTCTATCCGTGCCTCCGAGAAGTAAAATATACTAAAATATATTGGAGGAAAAAAAGGTCATGGATAAAATAATGCAACCTATGACATTTCGGACTCCTATGACATTTCGGACTCCTATGACATTTCGGATGCATCGATCGATATTTCAGATAGGAAGTAATATATGTTTAATGAAAATTGCTCTAGAAACTCTTCCCGAAAAGTAATTACTGTAGGCTTTTTCAGAAACTCTTAAAACACAATAGAAGCTACTCTCAAAGCAAAGATAACATATTTTACTTGCCGTTCCCGTTGAAGAATCGTTTCTTGAATGAAGTCAGTGAACACTTTCTTCGATTTAACACGCTTCAAATGCAGTCTGTTTAGCCTTAGATAACGTCGTAATCACAAGTGACATGACAGAAAGGTGGCGCGGAAGTGGTGAAGCAGACGGGCAACCCACTTGCATCATGAATACTACAGGGGGCGCGATTTTTTATTATTTGTTATTGTCATATTCATATTGCTTCAGTGGATCAACCAGCATAATGAATGTTATGAATAAATCATTCAAACTTTGAGCGGAAAGGTTGATGCATTCCTGTTGGAGTACAGCTTCGGCCAATATGCTCATAGCATTCGTTTTTCGCTCCGCACCCATTTCTCCCATGGTCGACTTGTTCGATTATGGTTCTCGAATTTACGCAAACTTCAATGTTCTATGGCTTGAGCAGCTACGGTTAAATTGGGGGGGGGGGATGTCATTTAGAATAAATTAAAAAATAAAAATAAGCAGCGCTCTCAACTAGACCATTAAAACCATAAAATGCAGTCCTTTTCCTTTGAAAGTTATGATTTGTCCAATTTTGGTCATTTACGGTGCAGCTCCCGAGGCACGTTTTCGATGGGACACTTTCCCTAACATTTGGCAGATTCGAAGAAATAGACATAAAAAGAAAAGTTGAACTTGGCAGAAGGTAGATGAAGGAGTACTCTCTTAACCCTTTCACTGACGTTCACGCCATATGGCGCGTTCAGCTCGACGAACAACTACGGCCATGG